ATCCTCATCCTCATCCTCATCCTCATCCTCACCCTCACCGTCACCCTCATCCTCAGCCTCATCCTCATCCTCAGCCTCATCCTCATCCTCATCCTCATCCTCATCCTCATCCTCATCCTCAGCCTCAGCCTCAGCCTCATCCTCATCCTCATCCTCATCCTCAGCCTCATCCTCATCCTCATCCTCATCCTCATCCTCATCCTCATCCTCACCCTCACCCTCACCCTCACCCTCACCCCAGTCCCACTCTCACCCCAGTCCCACTCTCATCCCAGTCCCACTCTGCTCACACTGAGGGTGTGGGGTAGCTCCTCATCCCAGTCCCACTCTCCTCACCCCAGTCCCACTCTCACCCCAGTCCCACTCTGCTCACACTGAGGATGGCGTTTGGGAGAAGCTCCAGCAGCATCCGTGGGACAAAGGCCACCACCTCTCTGGAGCAGGGCCCTCCTGCTCCTGAGCTGACCCGGGAGATCCGTCACCAGTGCCAAGCGTTCAGCAGCCCTGGCTGGAGCCAGGGGATGTGTCCCCGCCTAGAAACAGCCCTGGCACCACCAGGGACCCCCCAGTGCCACTCTGGGGCTGGCCATGGATGGTAATTGCACTGGGATAACACTGGAATATTCCTAAGTGGCCTTTTCTGTATTAAATATAACACATTAACAGAAGGAGGGAGATTGAAATGCGGCAGGAGCAGCAAAATAAAATTAAATTATAAAGCTGAATTGCATTTAAATGCCATGAAGCATTTGGAGAATGTCAAAATGCAGTGACAGCATGAACACAGCTCACACAACAGCTTAGCTAAAAACCCCGTCCCTACCAATTTAGTTCCACGGACTGTTTGCAGCTGCAGCATACCTGGAGTTGTGCTGAGCAGCGTTTCCTAGGATGCTGCAGGATATGTCTCTCCACCTAAACACGAGAGCAGCACCACCACAAACACCACGAGGCTGATCACACTCCTCTTCCCCCAGAGCAGGCTCTTGTGCCAATTCCCAAACGTGCGAGTCATCAAGCTTTTAATCATAAAGGGCTTGCTTTTAAATGAATGTTTTAATTTTGGCCTTCTCATGGTAAGTTGTAATGGAGACTGATTAGCTAAGAAGTTTCATTTGAGGCTGTTACATTTTTGCTAATGCTGCTCAACCAGAACCAGCACGAAAGCCCACAGGCACTATCTGATCGAACCAACACTTCTCAGCTACTACAATTGCTTCTGACAAAGGAGATGCTGGTTTTTTATTGGAGAATCCCACTAAAATAAACTCTGAGGGTGGTAATCCAGGGCAGTTCTTAGCTGGAGCCATTTCTTCCCTCTCCCAGGAAAGGAGTGACACCCTCCTTACAGATTTAACGCTGTTCATGTGTTTCTCCTCTCTGACAGCAAGATGGATCTGAGTTCTCGGGGGTGTGTGCACCATGCAAGATGCATGAGCAATACACTGCAAATATCTGAGAGTCACCGCAAGCCAAACATTTTCCTCCCCTCACATATTGGAGGAAATTTCCTGCAGGAAGGACACATCTTCAACCTTTCTGCTGCCATGTGCGGTTCCTGGTGGTGGTTAATTCTCACCGTGCTCCCCTCTCCTGCTGCCCACCCCCCCGTGTCTGACTGCCAGCTCCCCACTTCTGTCTGCCGGAAAACCTCGGCTTCCCCCTCCACACCCAGGAAGGACCCACGGAGAGCGAGGAGGAACCTGCAGCTGCTCTCCATCCCACCCTCTCGTGGTCCTCAGAGCTGGACCACCGCCTCCCAGGGCCTCCCAGCGCCGAGCTCTGCGCTATCCCTGCCCTTTCTCAGGGGCAGGATACAGGGAAGGAGAGGCTGGAGGTTTGGAAGTCAAACCTGGCTCGAGGTCCTCCCGTGGGCAGCACACAGATGTCTCGAGCAGCTGATACAGCCCCAGCGCCTTCCCCCGGCTAAAAACGTGGGCTAGATCCCCGATTTTAGGAAACACCCGAGTTCCTGAAGTGTCTGCAGCGCGGTGGACTGACAGGTTCTATGGAGAAGTGCCACCGCAGCTCTGGGATCCAGGATCATGAAGTCACCACCACGGGATGAGGAGCTCATGGGCACAGGCTCAGCCCCGAGCTGTGGTGCCAGGGTGGGGAGCCTGGGCACATCTGGCCATCACCTAAACCAGGCAGGGCTCCAGCACAAGAATTTCACCATCCGCGTAGATTCAACCAGACAGAAAGGCTGAAAGCCGAAGCATATTAATTAATTCTAATTAAGATGGGGCATACATCTTCACAACCAAATTCTGTGGATTCAGCACCGCCCTTTCTGCACTGGAAGGACCACTAGAGTCTCCTTAAAAGACGACATAATGGAGTTAATTGAAAAATAGAAGCAGTTTCAAGTCTAAGCCCTTCCATGCAAATTTTTTTTCCCCCCTTGCAATTTTCAAGTATCATTTTCCTGCTTCTCCTCTTGTCCTGCCGCGTGTGCAGCAACAGCTCAGGCAATCTATAAAGGTGATGAATTCACTACAGGTAGGATAAGCATCGAGTTGTATCAAACAGCACAGCAAGGGAACCGGAAAGTGAAGAAAAATGGATGTTTTTTCAGACCTTTACACTACACATATTTTGTTTCGCTTGACAAACACCAGAAGGAGAAACAATTCAGGGCGGGGGCTGCTGCATCCCGGTATCGCCCTGGTGACAGCACGCTGAACCTGCATTCCGAGGGAATCGGGCACACCGTGACGGAACATGGGAATCACAGGAGCTGCCAGTGCTCCAAACCCACTGCCACCCAGCATTCCAAGAGAATCGGGCACACCATGGAAGCACACGGGGAGCTGCCGGTGCTCCAAACCCACCGCCAGCCCTGGGGCTCCTCCTCGGAGCCAGAGGGGCCGTGGGAGTTCAGGATCCCAGCTACTGCAAACCCCACAGCCCCCACACCACAGCCCAAGGCTTATCACAGCTGTGTTTCACTCCAGAATCCTCCTTCCTGTGGCCAAAAAGCCACAGAGGTGCAGACCAGCTGCTCACAAACTGGAATTCCGTCAGGATCTGAGCACAGCTCGCGTATCCCTGCCTCCATCCGTAACCACGGTCAGGATTTCTGCTGCTTGCACCCGTGGGAGCCGGATCAGCTCCTGGTGCAGATGGGGGGCTCAAAATAGCAACAAGCCCCAGCTTTTGGAATAATCCTGAGCAGCAGCAAGCTTCTGCCTCTTCACAGCAGGGTTTTTAACCCAATTTTTTCAAATGCAGGTCGGGCAGCTCTAGGCGGGGCCGTGGAAGACGCTGGGTTTGCGGGAACGTTGCTCCACGGGAGGACAACACGGATGACAGAGTGCGTCTATTTCAGGAGCACAGAGGATGGCGTGCCTCGTCAGAGGACAGAGCAGGAGGACAAACGAGCCGGGGTCACAGCAGGCAGGCTCAGCACCAGCTGGACGTGGAGGGTGGTCCTCTCCAAAGGAGCACGGAGCAACGCCCCACACCCTCACCTCTGAACTCCTCACCACGACCCATTCGGGAATTTTGTTATTTCACTGGATGGACTGGAAGCGATTATGCTTGCACTGAACAGCGAGTATGAAACTAAAGGAGGATGCCAAAGCTTTGGAGATGGTCTGTAAAGAAGCTACCACTAGAACTGCCCCTAAAAGGGCTGACAGACCTCCATGGTGTGGAGTTTCTGCCAATTAATCACATAATGAACACTGTCAACAGGCAAAGGGGGAGCAGGTCCTCTGGGAACACCGTGCAGATGTCCCCAGGTGCTTTGGAGCACCAGGCAGAGTGCCCAGAAGGGAAAATCCACCTCGTACAAGGGAGGGTAAAGATAGTTTTAGTTCATTGTCACCCAAGGGAAGACATTCAGCACATTTCTGTGTCCCCATCAGCAGAATCTCCTGTCTTTGCCACCCAGGAACACCCCACACTCTGACTGGTGCTGGCAGGTCCAACACACCCCTCAGGACACACAGCCAGGGACGAGGCTGCCCTCCAAAACATTTATTATTTTAAAGTCTACACTGGTGTTTATGCCAATATTTAATGCTTGACTTTGCTGCCTCCCTGCTCCCCCACAAGCTGAGGGCACTCGGGGGAGGACAGCACCACCTCCCCATTTCAGCCCCACCCCTTTACAGCCTCTTCCAGACCTGGAACACATGGAGCTGAACTCTCATTTGGAGCCAAGGGAGGCTGTTATGGCACAAAGAGNGGATGATGGATGGATGATGGATGATGGATGGATGGATGGATGATGGATGGATGGATGATGGATGGATGATGGATGGATGGATGGATGATGGATGGATGGATGGATGGATGGATGGATGATGGATGGATGATGGATGGATGGATGGATGGATGGATGGATGGATGATGGATGGATGATGGATGGCTGATGGATGGATGGAGGGATGGATGGATGGATGATGGATGGATGGATGGATGATGGATGGATGGATGGATGGATGGATGGATGGATGATGGATGGATGGATGATGGATGGATAATGGATGATGGATGGATAATGGATGATGGATGGATGATGGATGGATGATGGATGGATGGATGGATGATGGATGGATGGATGATGGATGGATGGATGGATGGATGATGGATGGATGGATGGATGGATGGATGGATGGATGGATAAATGATGGATGGTGGATTTGAGGTGGGCAGCAGGCCCAGGAGCCTCTGCAGACACCCAGTCAGAGACAGGACCGTGTGGGCAGGCAGGGCCCGACAGCTGCAGACAGAGGGACCATGGCAGAGGATTCCAGGAGGGAAGGTGAGATGAATGCATTCACCAAGGGGATGAAGGGCAATGAACAGGAAATACCCAGCTTTGCCTGTCCTGCACAAAGACAAGAACCTTGTGGAGGCTGGTAATGCTCTTTTCTCCCTCTCCAACCCTCCTCTGCTCACCATTTGAGCACTGAGATGCAGGGCCAAGAGCTCAAACCAGAAACAGCAGCGGCCAGGGAGAAAGGCAATAATGTGCAGATGTTCCAGGGGAAAAACTGCCAGGGATAATGAGCAGTGTGCTGGAAAAGAGAGGAGCCGGCACAGCTGGGTGGTGAGAGCTTTGGGGAAGAGATTGCACGAGAGAGAGACATGGATGAACAGGATCACCTCTTGAGGGCTCTCTCCTGTTACACCTGTGCCCTAAAGAGATGTCTGCAAGTACCCAAGCTTAGAACCTCATGTGCCTGAGACAGGGATGAAACTTGTCAGGTCTGAGCAGCCTGGGAAGGTGCAGACATCTGGATGTGACCTGGGCAGCTGGAAATCCATTTTGTTCGCTGTGGAGAAGTTTCAGACAGAGAGATGTGCCCATGCTGCTCTTACTGCATGGAGAAAGGCATCTGAGCAGCAAAACCAGCCGAATGGTGGGAGAAACAGAGCCAAAGCTGCTCTGCTTCGCAGCTGGGGAGGCCAGCTCATCGCTGTGCCTCAGGGCATCTCCCTGAGGAGCTGGGGAGGTCTCCTCTTTCCACCACGTTATCCCAATCCAGCATCTGCCAGAGCTGGGGAGCTCCCCCTTCCCACCACATTATCCCAATCCAGCATCTCCCTGAGCTGGGGAGCTCCCCCTTCCCACCACATTATCCCAATCCAGCATCTCCCAGAGCTGGGGAGCTCTCCCCATCCCACCACGTTATCCCAACTCGACGTTTGCCTGATGGAAGTCACATAAACAAGACATCTTGCCAGGCAAGGGCTATTATTCAGGTGGTATGTGCTTTCTCAGCCGTGTTTAATATTCTGCTCACAATCCAGCATGGTTTTCATTTGCCATTTGAACACTCAGCAGGATGGTTTGGGGTTTGAGAAACATCAGGTCAGAAGAGATGTGACCTCTGAGACAAATAAATTCACACAACCTGCAATCTTTTATGTTAGCAGAGCCCGGCCATTAGTGTCAGCATATTCCAGACACAAAACATGCTAAGAGAAAAAAAACCCACATGCTTAAGATGACCCTTGATCACCTCAAAAGCGCTCAGGAAACCACTGCAACAGAGGTGCAGCTCTGTGCTGCCTTCAGAGGTTTGGATCTACTGTGTTTTTGGGCAATTAATTACCCAGGGTGCAGGATTTCATCTGCTCATGGGCACCGAGTCTGGGCTGTGAGGGTCCCTGCTCTGCTCGGGCTTGGAGCAGCTGCCTAGAGCAAAGGCTGGACAAGGTTAAATGATTAAAGTGGGCATTTATTAAAGGCCTTCAGTAGATACACCTTGGGCAGTCCCAGAGGCTGCACCCAAGCTGGACGATGGACACGAGTTTTTTAATTGTAAGTTTGGTCCATTTACATATCAGGGGTTAATGCTACAATTACAGCTTTGGGTAATGAAGTAATTTACCCCCAGTTTGCTCCCCCCAGCTCACTTCTGCTTATACTTGTGGGGCCCGAGGCTGTAGGGTGTCCTTGAGCTCCAGGCCCAGAGGGATTGTTCTGTCTGACCAAAGTGAGAGGACACTCCATAGCTGACACTCGATATGGAGTTTAGAGTTACACACTAAGGCAGTACAGGATTTGAAACATATCAAAGCCAAAATCCTAAGGCATCAGGGTGGCCCCGGGGTGGAGGCCCCTCAGGCTCGGCAATGCTCCACTGCTCTGCCTCCTGCCAGAGCACAGAGCTCACGGACCTGTGTGAGCCTTGGAGCAGAGCGGAGCTTGGAGGAGAAATAGGGAAGGGAATTGATTGCTCTGAGCCATGGCAGAAGCGCTGCACATCAAAGGCAGGACTGACCCACACCGCACACAGCCCTCCTGTCACACCCTCTGCGGGCCCTGACACCCAGCTCTGGCAAACACAGCCCTGCCCACTGCCAGCAATCACCAGTTATCTGCTGCCTTCAGCTCTGCTGCTCTGGAGCAGCATCCAGCTTCCTCTGCACACTCAGGGGGTGTTGGTTTTCTTGCACTGATGCTCCAGCCTCCCACCCCATTGAGGAACTGGAGGATGCTCGTGCAATGGCATCTGGCAGAGTTAAACACCAACATGAAGCTGCAGCCCTTGACAGCTCCTTCCACTGCACTGGCTGTTATTGAGGCAACTGAGAATTGCTTAGAAATAACAATAATTCTGCAGCAGACACGAACAGATGACTCCTACTCTGATCCCGCAGTCCTTGACAACACGATGTTCCTTAAACCAGAGACTTTCTGTGTTCATGTAGCCTGCCTTGTTTGCAGGGGTACTCTCTGTGAGTTACCTGACTTTAAACAAACAAATCACACGTTTGAAAAGTGTGATGCTCTTCCTGAGCTGGGCCATAAATAATGAGTGAGGAAGGGAGCATGGAAAGGACAGGCAGAGCGACAGGAACCCTGTGCTCACTTCCTGCAACCTCATTCCTTTTCCCCAGGCTCTGCTTCTCCCCACAGCCCAGACTGGTACCCAGAATAAATCAGCTCAGGATCATGAGATTGTGTTTTTGCCATCCTCTGCTGCCTCCCCTTCCTTCCACGCCTCCCTTCCCAGAGCAATGGGCAGGAACTCACAGTAAATGCAAAGTGCACTCAAACCTCGGCACAGGCACAACAACAGACCCAACCTCACCCACTGACACATCCAGCTCAAGACAACAGATTTTGTCTCGTGTTGCAGCACCAAACAGTGACTTTAGCCAGATGCCAGCTGCAGACCACACAGCGGCTTTGCTTTCTCCCAGGAACGTGCGGAGATGCGGGCTGATGGAGCCTCCGCCACGTTCCTCCACGGCTCAAGAGCTCCAGCCTGCACTTTACATCTGCAGCCCTGTTTGGGATCCATCAGCATCAGGACGGTGTGTTGCAGAGCCCTCTCACCCGTTCCCCCGCCTGCCTCCCACGCTGCCTGCCCGCTGTCAGCACTGCAGGCTGCCCCGGTCACTCGGGTTATTATTGCTGCGTGGGACACCAGAGTTTCACACCTTGTTTGGACCTCAGATGAAAGGATTTGACTGAGTCTCAAAGACCCACCCCTCACCCCCGATGTTCAATGAATGCAATTCAAACGGAATTGGGTTTTTAAGAAGCTGGCTGGCACTGAAGCGAGGACAAAGCCCAGCAGAGTGGGTGTGGATGTGCCAGGTCCCCTCTCCATGCGCTTCCAGCAGGTTGTGCTTTTTAACAGCGGCAGAGCAACAAACACAGAACTTAGTCATTTGAGTAAAGCACGCAAACACACGCCTCCCCACGGTCCACTGCTGAGACAGAACAAAATACCTGAGCACGTATTTGATATGCACAATACAAAGCAATGAAAGGCAGCTGAGGGGCACTCAAACCCTTCCTGTGCCCACTTTGCAGCACTGCAGAGCCCTGGGGACTCTGGCAGAGCTCAGTGCATAGGCTATGCCCAGAAAATGTTGAAGGCCAGGCAGGACAGGGCTCTGAGCAACCCCATCCAGTGGAAGAGGTCTTTGCTTGTTGCTGGGGGGTTAAGCTAAATGAGCTTTAAAAGTCCCTTCCCACCCAAACCATCATTCCATGGACATGTGTCTTAGCTTGGGGCAGAGTGGTCACCAGCAGTGACCACCCAGCAGGGCTCACAGCTGCCCAGAGAGGACCAGTCCCCCTGGAAGATCTGCCGTGGCCCAGCCCCGTACACCCTACAGGTGCTGGACGCCTCTGCGTGCCGGCACTGCGTACCTTGTGCGAGTAGTGCTGATCCACGATCCTGGCCAGGCCAAAGTCACCGATCTTCAGCACCAGGTCCTCCGTGCTGATGAAGATGTTGGCCGGCTTGAGGTCGCGGTGCAGGACGTTGGCCGAGTGGATGTACTTGAGCCCGCGCAGCAGCTGGTACATGAAGAGCTTGGCGTGCTCCTTGGCCAGCTTGCCCTGCTCCAGCAGCCGCGCCAGGTCCGTCTCCATGTACTCCTGCACGATGTACACCATGTTGAACTTGAAGAAGTCGCCGCGCAGGTTGGCGCCCTTGGGGCCCAGCACCTCGTAGACCTTGACGATGTTCTCGTGGTCGAGGCGGCGGATGATCTTGATCTCGCGGAAGGCGTGCTTCATGCTGCGCGCGTCGCCCAGGGTCAGCTTCTTCACGGCCACCTTGCGGCAGCTGCGGCTGTCCAGGGCCGACAGCACCAGCCCGTTGGCCCCGAAGCCCAGCGGGCGGAAGTTGACGAAGCGGCAGCCCAGGTCGTAGCCGTACATGCTGGCCATGCAGTCGCACTTCTCGGCCATGGCGCGCTCCGGCCCGGCCCGCTCCTCCGCCCTCGTCACGCCAAGAGCCGGCAGAGGACCAGGGCCGCCAGGTCAAAAACGCAGCTGGGAATCAAGCCCCTCATTATTACTTACAGATGTCTGGGGAGGGGTCTCGCTCTGAGCCCGTCACTTCAAGAGGACACGGGGTGAAAACGAACCTGAGGACACACACACACACATAGAGAAATAAAATGTTCTGAACTGGGTGAGAAACCAACAGACTTTCCAAGCAGCATAGAGAAACACAGCCCAGAGATCCCTGTCAAAGCAGAAGGGTTCTTTTTTTTCTGGAGATTAAAAAATTAAATTAAATTTAAAAAACTGGTATGTTTTTCAGCCCCTGCCTCGCTTCCCTTCTGCGGTGTCCTGGAGACAACGCCGGAGCGCAGTGCTGGTGGCACAGCCCCGCATCCCTGATGTCTCAGCACCACCACAGCCAGCTGGCCCTGCTGTGGGGCAGAGCCCAGAGAAGCCCCAGGCCCTGCCCTGCCCCAAACCCTCCCTGCCCACGAGCCTTGGCAGTGTTTCCCCCGCCAGTCAGGTGTACCCAGGCCCCGGCTGGGCTCCCCGGAGGTCAGCAGAGCTTCACCCTTCTCACCGCTCCCCTTCCGGCACGGGCAGACCCCATCCTCCTCACCGGCACACACGGAGCCCCACGGCAGCCGCTGCTCTGCAGGACTAAACCCAGGCTTTTTCCAGCTCAGAGAGTTTCCAGGTTTGCAGGTCCAGCTCCTTTCTGCTGTGTGCCTTTCCCGGGTGGAGCCGAGGGCGGTCTGACGGCTACAGCATCCCGAGGAGCTCCCCGCCCTGCACAGCCCCGTCACCCTGCAGCAGGTCCAGCCTCACTCCTGGAAGAGAAGAGAGGGACCCATCTGTTGCCAGCGCTGTCTGTGCCCTGCCCACGGAGCTGAAGGTTCACCGTGAGCAAAACCGTGACCTTTCAGAGGATCATCAGTTATCCCTCCCAACGCACGCAGCATTTCTCAGCTCCTTCAATCTCCCTTTCCCATTTGTAATGCTCAGAGAAATGCAACTCTTTCTCTCCCCTTCGCTGCCCCTGTTTTCCTTTTTTAAAATTTGCTCAAAAGTGTTACAGAGCAAATTGCAGTGGCTGAAGAGCATGTGGTGTCTGCCACTGCCCACAAAACACACAGAAATGAGGGGGCAAACCCTCCCTGCCGGGCAGCCGAGAGGGCCACCGAGCTTCTCAGCTTGCAACAACCAAAACTGCTCAGGCAAATGAAGGCAAAAAGCCTTGGGAGCTGTCTGTGAGGACGTGACACCCCCTGAACTCAGGTGGCGCAGCAAACCTCGGCAGCAGCCCGGGGATGGCATCGCCGCTCCTGTGAAATCGCAGCTGAGCAGGTAAATGTGCGTGTATTTGTACATGGAGGACGTAAGGTTTGTTTTCTCACCCACTAAGGGCTGTAAGTGGAGGGTGTGGACACGGGGTGAGCCATCTCTGGAGCACAATCCCATACCTCAGAGCCACTCTGCCCTTTGGCTGTCCCCTGAGACGCCGAGGGCTCTCTCCCCAAGGCGCCATGGCTTTTGAAGGAATCGGCACCATGGCAGAGCCTCGCCTCCCCGGGCAAACACCCACGTCTGCTGGGGATGAGGACGTGCCTACAGCCAGAGCATCACACTATTTGGGGGATCTTCCTGGCAAAACGTCACTGTCTGGTGGCAGGTGACCGTGCAGAGGTGGCCAAGGGCAAGGGACCACTTCTCCCAGCTGCTTCAGCTGGGAAAAGACAGCTCAAGACCCTGAAAGCACCTCAAGTTTTCCACCGAGGTTCCCACCTGCACTTCACTTGGGAACAGAACGGAACAAAAGGTCTGAAGCACGAGGAAACAGCTGGGCTTTTCCTTCCAGATGAGCAGCTCAAGGTTCCCAACGCACCACGTGTCCCTGCAGCTGTCTGTGAGGCTCCGAGGAGCAAGGACAGCGCTCCTGGCTCCAGCCTGCTCCCAGACACCCCCAGCCAGCTTCACCTCGCTGCACCCCATCCTCGCCCCTGGGCCACCCCCTGAGGGTCCTTCCTAGCCAGGGGGACCTGCAGGGACCACCCAGCTGCACAGGGACCTCCCAGGCCACCAGCTGGTCCCAGTGCTGCTCAGAGGAGCAAAATAAAGCAAAATAAAATAAAATAAAATATTAAAATAATTTTAAAATATTAAATATAAAATATAAAATAAAGTAAAATGATAAAACAAAATAAAATATAAAATAAAGTAAAATAAAGTACAATATAGTGAAATAAAATGATAAAACAAAATAAAATATAAAGTAAAATAAAGTAAAATAACAGAATAAAATAAAATAAAGTAAAATATAAAATAAAGTAAAGTAAAGTATAATATAGTAAAATAAAGTTAAATAATAAAATAAAATAAAGTAAAATATAAAATAAAGTAAAATAAAGTATAATATAGTAAAATAAAATGATAAAACAAAATAAAATATAAAATAAAGTAAAATAAAGTAAAATAAAGTAAAACAAAGTATAAAATAAGATAAAGTAAAATAAAGCAAAATAACAAAATAAAATAAAATAGAATAAAATAAAATAAAATAACTCTGGATCTGCTCCTGTTGTGTTCTTCATGCCAGAACGATGGCTCTGTTAGAGCCCTTAATCACCAGAGCTGCTCCATTAACCCAGCAGCGGGTTCACAGCCTGCTCCTGCTCCCCCAAGCAGCGCTGCAGGGACCCTCCTGCTCCCTGGCAGCAGAAGTTACCAGGAATAACAAAATACCAGGGAAAACATTAAATGCTGAGCAATCACCCATTGCTGAAGGGGGATGAGAAACGCAGGGCTCCAGGGCAGCAGGGAGCAGCGATCTGGAGCGGGAGCCAGCTAACAGTTAAAATGAAGACATACGGAGCATCTGATGGCAGGGAGGATGTAGGCAGGGCAGGGATGCCCTCTGAAGAGCATCTGCCAGCAGTTACCGAGCCGCTTGGCAAGCACTGCCTGCTCCTCTAGTCGGGAAGCAAAAATAATTACAGCCTCTTTTCAACCCAGCAATTATCTAATGCTGGCTTTTGCAGGCAAGGGCTGAACAGAGAGAGCTGCTCGTGCTGTCAGGGAGCGAGGCAGGCACCAGAGAACTGCCTCGGCCCTCCGGTGAACCAGGGGGACAAAACCAGATGGGGAACAAGGCGAGAAGGGACACAGGGAGGTGGATAAACCCCGAGGGTCTGCGAGGAAGGAGCAGCCTGTGCAGGGGGGGTTCCCCAGCATGGTGACAAAGCTGTGAGGCCGTGCAGAGGGAGCACATGCTGCTCAAACCACCCACAGCTACCGGGGGCTCCGAGGACCACTGCTTGAGGGCAGCCTGATGAGCAGCCAGGGGGCTGCAGCAGCAGCAGGGCTTTCCCACTGAGCTTCCTCACTGGAGATCTCAGTCTCTGCACACATCTCTCAGAGACAGCCTGACAAAGAAAATAAAAAATAAAATCAACCAAAACATCCTGCTGGCACAAAGGGAAATGTGCGAAACCGGGCTGGGACCACTGTGCTTTAACGTGGTGCCACGTGGGCTCTGTCACCCATCTCTGCCCCTCAGCTCAGCCGCAGCACACAGAGCCAGCACGCTGCCCAGCTCCCGGGCACTCCGGTGCCACGGGGCTGGATGGTCCACAAGGTTCCTCCCAACCAAAAACCCTCCTGGACTCGGGGAGCAAAACCCTGCAGGGCTGCTGAGCCCAGGTAGCGACGGGCGGGGGCCAGAGCCCACACCAGGCTGCTTGGCTCACTCTAGACGCAATGGAAAGAAACCAAGTTCTGCCTCGTCAGCCTCATTATTAATAATTAGTAGAGCTCTAGAAGCACTGAAAGGGAACATGCAACATATGAGGGGGGAAGAAAGGGAAGAAAGAGCCCTACTTTTCCTGAGAAGCAAAGCGATGGCCTTTGTGATGCTCCTGGCTAGGACTCGCTCCCAGCTGGTGAGGGCCCTGCTGCAGCTTCTGCAATTAGAGGGGCAGAATCACCCCAAAGGATGGCCCTGGTGCCCAGCAAGTCACGCCCCTGTCCTGACCCTCTGGCTGTGTCTCCCTCGCTGAACATCCAGGGAAAAGCTCCTAAACAGGGAGATGTTCCGTGGCCAAGAGCAGCAGACAGGATCCCACAGGGGTGGGAGACAGGCAGGTCAAGGTGGGGTATTGTGCCCCTGTGCTCAGGTGAGACCCCACCTGCAGAGCTGCCCCAGCCCTGGGCAACACCAGCACAAGGACGTGGAGCTGCTGGAGCCGGCCCAGAGGAGGCCACGCAGCTGCTGCCAGGGCTGGAGCCCCTGTGCTCTGGAGGCAGCCTGGGAGAGCTGGGGCTGCTCCCCTGCACAAGTATTCAGGCTCCAGGGAGAGCTGAGAGCCCCTGGCAGGGCCTAAAGGGGCTCCAGGAGAGCTGCCCAGGGACTGGGGACAAGGCCTGCAGGGCCAGCACCCAGGCAATGGCTTGCCAGTGCCAGAGGGCAGGCCCAGCTGGGATATTGGCAAGGAATTGCTGGCTGGGAGGGTGGGCAGGCCCTGGCACAGGGTGCCCAGAGCAGCTGGGGCTGCCCCTGCATCCCTGCAGTGTCCAAGGCCGGGCTGGACAGGGCTTGCAGCAGCCTGGGACACTGGAAGGTGGCCCTGCCATGGCAGGGGTGGAGTGAGATGACCCTGAAGTCCCTTCCCACCCAAACCACCCCGTGATTCAGTGACTGAGCTCTGTCTGCATCTGCTGTCTGCCTCCTCCACCTGAGACAGCAGCAAGCCCCACAGACCAGGCTGACCAGCCTCTCAGGAAAGACCACAGAGGTCATTTTTCCTGCCTTCCCCATTCTCCGAGCCACACCTGGCTCCTGAGAGCCCGGCAGAAGCCCCAGGGAGATGCCCTCAGCAGGCCCAGTTTCCCCCAGGCCGTGGCTCTCCATGGCTGTGCTGAGGAAGAAGGGTTAATTTCAGCAGCCCACCCACAACTGCTGCCGGCCCCAGCAGCCCAGAAAACAGCACGGAAAATGCAGTCAGCTTTCATGGAACCGCTGACCAGGGTTCCAGCAGCTTCTGAGGCTGGTGAGGCCGGGTTCTGATATCCACTGGAGGAGCCAAATTCAGCGGGAGCTTCAGCACAGCTGCAGCAGAACGGGACACAGGTCCTGCACTGAGAGCAGGAACAGAGCTTGGGAGCACAGCAAAGCAGTGTGCAGGGAAAATGAACCTGACTTGGGGGGCACCCAGCCTGCTGTGGTGGGCTGGCAAAGGGACACCAGCTCTCAGGGATCCGAGCCCTCATTCCCAGCCCTTTCCCACTTGCCCTAGCTCTAGGACAGGGAAGCTCTGGGGCACTCCCAGAAGGCACACACAGCTGCCCTCCTCTGCTGCAGGCCACAAATCCCCTAAATTCAATAAATATGTGCCATGGCCATCGCTCAGATCCACACTGGGGCTTGAGGGAAGGGTCAGGAGTGCCCAGCAGCCCACCCTGCAGCCACCTGGGAAGGGATGGACACCGGGGGGTGGCCGGGAGGGATTGGAGGTGCTCAAACAGAGTTAAAACACCAAATTAAAAAAAAACAAACACTATGCATTTCAGAAAGACGCAGGGAATGTAGAGATATTCCCTTCTGATGAACACTGACTGCATTGCACAGTTCCAATTCACCTCTCACTGGCTTTTTCACCAGATGCAGAGGTCTTGGAGCCATAAAATACAAAGATGGGGGGTAGAATGAGGAAGTTTTATTCTTCCATTCTTCCTCTCTCTCCCCTGCACTCCTCTGCGCAAGGGAAACAGGATGATGCTGCTGCTGGGATTTGCACTGACCTTTCTGCTCCCTTTATCCTCTCGGGGCTCTGGG